CTGATCTACAAATCTCCTTTTTGTTCCTTTACATTTTAAACTTTCAACGCGTGTTTTTTTCATTGTAAATTTATGTTACAAAATTAGAATCATTGCATGAAAAAGCACGTACTCATCAGTGTACATTATGTTCTGTCACATTTGAAAGTGTAAAAACTGTTCTTAAATCCAGTTGTCCTGGTCTTAATGGGCATTACACACGCAGTGACCTCACAGATAGAGATGTAAACTGTATGATCAATCTAACATGTGTTCTGTGAATGTAAAAACCTCCTTGTTCCAGTCTTTTTGGGCTCCTTTATTCACAGACCAACTGTGGCGGAGCTACAAGCAGTCAGTCTGCAGAGGTTAACAGTTTCCTATGACTCAGTGAGGATGCTGCTGAAGATCCCAGACACAGTCGTCCAGTCAGATGTTTGCTGAGTGTGCTCCTTTCCTACGTCACTGCTACTATCAGTCATGTGTAGAGTCATGATGGTACCTAATAGTATTGTACAGTCCCTGGTTTGCCCTTACATTAGCTCAGTCAGGGTCACTTCTAAACTTTGGAGTCACTGGCTTCTTTGTATGTGTGACTTGCGGTAAATATGTGATTATGTGTCTTTTTAACACAGCTTTTTTTTTTTTATTCTTTCATTCTTAGCTCTGGATTCTGTGCTTGCATGTAAGTCCTTAGTAAAGTCTAAATAAAATTGGACCCGTGTTGCTGCTGAAAGGAAGTCTGAGGTGTAAGTTGTTCTGTAAAGGTACATTCAAATACACAACTTGTCATTTTACAGTCTTGTTTAGTTAAGAATGTCATTTCCTAATTCATAAATCTATTGATACATAATCCACTAACAGTATTTGTTTTAACGGGTTTTCCATTGCGATTCAACACAATTTAGAAAAAAAATTACAGAATTGTGTCCAAGTGTGTTTTAATTTGGGAACAAACAAATCAAAAATATTTACACTGGAACAGACACACAGAAGATTTACATACATGATGAATTTAGTCTTTGGCCTTCATAATTTGCCAAAACACAACAAGCTGTGATTCCTGAGCCTCGGGAGACAGAATCCATCTTGAATGTTGCAATAAAATTATTCCAGGAAAAAGAGATGGAGCAGCAATAGTTTTAAGGCGGCTGATATGTAAAAATATATATATGTATGTATATATTGGGCAGGAACATGATCCATGTTTAATGAATACATTTACTCAGAATACCTTACTCTGAGCCACTTCAAAAAGTTTGCTTTCGTGATTAACCACTGTATCAAAAAGAAGGGACATGACTCAGCTGATGACTTGACATTTGGACAAACCTAGTCGGTGTAACGTGGTTGATATTTCTGCATATGTTTGAATGTTTTAGAACCATTCTATCGCTGTATCTGCAAAGTCTTCCAACGCACCCATCATTTAGTTCATCTCCACCGCTACTCCACTGTTTACCTGCGGGGTGCGCACTTGCGAATCACTTCCGGGGGATTCTTGTGTTTCAAATGGAAATTGCAAAAAGTAATTTAGACGATCATTATTGGTTTACTGCATTTTCGTTTTAATTGGATCCACAGAAAACCAAAAACAAACCGATATTTCAATTTTGCATTAAATTCAAATATTGAGAATCAAAAACATCCCTCGTTATTTGTTTTTTCAATGTTGGTTTTATTTAGAAAATCAAAAGAACGAATGATACACGGATTTAACCAGAGTGATTGTCAGAGGTGAATGGTACTGGGGTAAAAGCCTGGAGCTAACCAGGAAGCTTGCGTTGATTAAAGGAGTGCAAACAATCACACACCACCAGGGGTCCTAAAACTATTTTTTACCAGGGGGCCAAAATTAATAGATAAAAGCACGCTGGGGGCAAACGGATTTCATGTTTTGCTTAAAAGTTAGTCAACACCAGGGGATTATTTTTTATATTAATTACTTTTGTGAGGCGTAACTCATGGCTCCATCATCCCCATGGTAAAATATCCCATGTTCTTTCTGGCATAATTCATATAAAACACAGACTATAGTCCACACTGTCTGCAAAGTCACTATAGCCTTACACTGTAGGCTATCCTGCAGCAGCCTCACATACTTCATGTGTCGTAACAGCTGAAACTCGGATCCTGAAATATGACTGGGGAAAAACTGGTTGAAAGGAGGGATTTGCTCACCTGCCTGACAAACCAAAAACAGATAAAGTTTGGATACAGCTGTCGCCTGTCTGCCTTTTGCCAGTACATCTAATCTACCTATGCCACCAAACATAGCCGCTCTGAAATCCTTGCATCACTGTTTATGGTGCCAAAACTCCACAGAGTCAAAAAGTATAACCACCAAAGTGCACTGCAGTCAAACAAGTGCACAATACAATATGCAGTTGCATGTATCACAATAATCAATAGCAAACAGAAAAAAAATATCTATTTATATAAAAGAAAGGAAAAGTGTCGATACTTTTTTTTTTGTGGCTTCTGTCATCAGGTAAAAACTGCACATTCACAACCAACAACCATTAATCCAAATTTACCAGTTTATGTCAACAAATCCATCCCAGTGAATAACTTTTAACCACACAGCAGTATCTTTCTTTTGAGTTGTGTGACTGTACTGTACGTGTGTGAGGCTTTCTGGAGCACAGCTGTGAGTTTGTGTGCAGAGGCAGCGGGTGACAGTAAAAGGCCTGCGCTGGCACAATAAGAGTAGTTGTTAGCGCTGGCATTTGATTTGGTCACAGTGACAGCCAGACCCATTACCAGCCGAGGGTCAGGCATCTGCAGAGACGAGCCAGCGAAAGGGACGAGTTTTACACCCTTCGCTCTGTAAATATTTGTGACGGCCGATACAAGACACTGCATATTTTTCACACAGAGAGGAGATGTCAGTGTTACTTTAGAGGTTATGACATACTGTTTTCAATCAGAAATGACAAGCAAATACAAAACAAATGTTTAGTCTAATTCGACAATAAATAACATTATTATGGTTCCAATCTATGCTTAATTTCATCATAAAAATTAAAATATATTTTTTGTGAACCATAAAACAATGATTTTATTTTTTGCTAAATTGTAATGAATATGTCAAAAACAAAACTTGCTTGTAAAGACTGTATGTGCTGTTGGAAGACAGTGGGAAAATACTGTTAAAATGGAAATAATCCAACGGACATGGTACTGATAAATGTCCATACACAATTTTATACTACTTTCATTCATGACTGGAATTTACAAACTTTGCCGGTCAAGGCTGGGATCTTGTTGTTCAAGTTTGGTCTAGTTTCTAAAAAACAACAGCTACATTTGCATATTTTACATTTTTCTGCATTGCTATATCAACAATACATTTTCTTCCTACCAATATACCTACAGTATGTAGTTTTATTATGAGACGGATATCCTACTTCCAAATATACATCCAACAAGTTATCAGGAAACAGAACTATGCAATATGCAGATTGTTGAGATAGATCGAGAGGTTTTGCCAACTGTCCCAACAAGGCAACAATAAAATCTCCCCTTACCTGATGTGAACTACCTGTAGTGCTTATGGACAAAGTGAATGACATTCCTCTCACTCCATTGTCTCTTAGGATAATAGATTTAGGTTGTGGCCCATCTGCTGTCCAATCACAACATTATTCCTATACGCTCCTTGCATGCGGCTGCTGGCTGGGTGTGTGGTAGCTGTAAATCTGGCCAGCTCATTAGCACTGACAGAGGGAATGCTCCAAGCCCACCTGCTCCCCTTCACCCTCTTTATGGCTCTACAAATTAAAACGACATTTACACACAGGCTCGCTGCACCGCGCACTGCTCGCCTCACCTTGCCACTCACATCGCTTCATCTGCTCTCGCTGCTGAGCTGTGGATACTATACAAATGCTTTATTCATCAGCCCCCAACTAAGCTAATTATTCTCAAAGTCCTATTCACTCCACAATGGGGTCAGTAAGCTGCTCTGTGTAGAGCTTTATGTGTGGGAAATAGTGGCAGGTTTACATCGGAATCAAAGTGCAGTTATTGAAGCTTTAGAGTTACAGCATTGATACTGAGAAAAGACTTCCAGTTCAGGTGTCAACACTTTGTGAATTTATCATAGGTTTAATGTAACTATGGTTGCACTGGATGCATTTTTAGTTACTTACTCACTTTTTGGTCATGCAATTTATATGTATTGTATTCTTATTTAAATAAATAATCTACATATGTGTGTGTGTGTGTGTGTGTGTGTGTGTGCGCGCGCGCACTATATGTACCATAGGCGAAAACATTATGAATGTAACTATTCCTGCCCAAATGAATGAATGAATGAAATACACAGTGGTATGTGATGTTATTTTATGTAGTGTACTTATATTTAGCCACAGTCTTTCATTCATAGAAAAGGCTGGGTAAAGATATTCTTCTCACAAGCCCATGATAAAATATTTACACACTTGAATCTATATGCTGCAAAAGTACAGAACAATACATGTTCACAGGTTCAGTTTGTGAATAGTGTCTGAACATAGGTTTTGGAGCAGCGGACTTACATCTGGTGCACAGAATGCTTTTGCCCAATTCATTGAAGTCTTACTTTATCATTTAAAAATGTTGAATTTGCACAAATGTTACTCAAATGCAAGTTGAATCCAAAATAGAACTTTTTAGAGTTTTGGTTTTTACTGTCAGCAGAAATACTTCCATCCTAAGCTAAACTGTACCACGTCTAAATTCTTTTCCTACAAAGAGAAGCAGCTCTTCTTATCAGTTTTGTGCTGAGTCCTTATAATGATATACATACAATGAAATATATAATTACATGGTTTATTAAGGAGCAGTCACTGTGTTGGCCCAAGGAGACCTCCTTGAGTGGGTGGTCCAAACACCCATATTGTCCCATTTATTTACTGCAGTTTATGGATTGAGGAGAGCTTTGAAGATTTGGAGAAGACTGAGAAAGGGCTATGTGACTGTGTGCATTCAGCTCCTGTTTGAAGTCCCTCACTCCAGCAATTACTTCATATCAAGGATTAGATGAAGCGCAGGGCACACAGGAGAGACAGCTGCAGGAGAGGGAGAAGACTCAACGAAAGGCCTAAGACCGACCAGCAACGATAGAGAAGTTTGTCAATATTAAAGACACCAGACAACTCAAAAAAAAATCACTTTTTCCAACAGCAAAATAGAAAAGCACTATGAATAACTGATGGGCACTGTCACTGTCTGTTTACAATGGAAACAATAGTCACAGCGGAGACAACTTTAAAAGTGTACTTTCAGAGAAAGTCAGACACAAAACACTTTGTCTGCAAAACTAGTGTCTGCGAGACTTGGGCCAAAACTTACAACTATTGTCGTGTCATTATAGAAAGAAATTGTGTTTTCATTGGCAACGTCAAAATGCTTTATAGTGTGTTCATCGTTAACCTTGAGTGTAATGTAACAGCAGCGCACACATTGGCCATAGCATTAGAAAAAGATGTACTGTAGTCCCTCTTTCCCCTCCCCATGACAGACACATGAAGCCAGAGGTTCTCGACCATAATGTTCTGATTTGGAGTCAACCGATTATCGTCCGGGCAGATTATTGGCCAATATTGATGCATCACATTGGCCAATTTTGTTGTAGTTGTTAACTCGTCCAGCCTACTGGTCAACAATAATGATACAACAAAACCCAAATATGTATGAGTCTTCTGCAAAACAGTGTTCCTGATGTACTCATGTTCTACCACAGTGTGCATACGGATGCTCCCTAATTATAGATTAGGAGGAAACAAGGAAAGTTCAAACCTGATTTTTAAAACATTACACATGTGTGTATTGTACTGTATGATTTTGTTATTCTATTGTGATCATTATTACTATTAAGGAGAGTGGAATACAGTAAGTGTCTGCTTCAACCAACACCCTTTGAGACCTTGTACTGTATGCATATTATGTTTATGCTGGTTTGAAAAACCAAATCCAAGCAAATTATTGTCGATAAATTTAGCTCGTTTTTTTCATTCATTCAGTCAAAATTAACTTAAATAACTGGACACTTCATTTGCATAAAGTCACATTTGGGAGATGTATTCCATTCATCCTATCCAGTCTATACAGTGGGAGCTAATTTCTATTTGTTGTGTTACTCAATAAAGTAATGCTTCATATAGATATTCACGTTTACTGCAATTTAATGGCTCAACACAGCAGTTACTGGCCTCCTTGACCACTAGTTATTGGTATCGGCCCTGAAAAACATCAGACGACCTCTAGTTCTAATGTAGCACAATGCAGGATTTGTGTCTTTTGTGCATGATTGTGGGCGGGTCTTACCTCTGGGATCTGGACGGTGTACGGCTGTCCATGGAAAGTTGGCGCGTTATCGTTGACGTCCCCAATTTGGATGTTCACGGTGCCTGTGACCAGCTGCGGAAGGATCAGAAGACACCTTCATTAAATCTTGCCAAAAACACCACCTCCTCAGTGACTTAAGAGGACGCTGAGTCAAAATAGACTAATCATGCCAAGTTGGGATTTGGTTGAAGAAAGAGGGCCAAAAATGAGACTTCTACCCGCAAGGCAGAGTAGGATGAGCGTCAGTAAATCTTAGAAACGAAAATGCATTGAATGAGACAGGTGTCAGAATGATTATACATAAGAAAAGTGAAAAATGGATAAATTAAAAGTGTGAGAGTGAGAGAGAGATGGGGAGGATGTGATGAGGACATATGTGCCACCACAGACAGAGGTGTCAAAGCAGCTGAAAATGCACTTCATCGTACCTCGAATGAGTCTCTGACGGTAAACTCAACCTGCATCTCTGACTTGATCTGTAGAGAAAGACAGAAAGAGAAACACTTGCACTGAGTATTGTACTACATGTTCTCACAAACAAAATGTCATATGTCATGCTTAACACTTGTTAATGTTCTAAAAGCATGGTAATTTTTTCCCATCTCCTTGTTCTAAGATCCATTTAATGTGTAAATTGACTGAATGGAATTTTGATTTAAAAAAATGAAAATTAACGTATAATTTAGTTTATTTCTTTAAAGGACAATGTGTAGTTCCATCTGTAGTTCTTCACTTCCTTCATTTAAAAGTGGGTGGTAACATTGGAACACATTGATAGCAAAATTCCTTAAAGTATTGTGATTAGTTGGCCCGGTGTTTTGTACCTCTCGATCGAGTGGTAGTCCTAGCCACACTCTCCCATCTTGCTCCACTCTGAAGAACTTCATGGCCTCTTCTCCAGTGATGCCATAGATCAGAGGATCATCTTCAGGATCTACTGCCTCCAGCCGTGTCACTTCTTGTCCTGTGAAACAGCAGAAAAAAGTTAGAGACATTGATTTATTTATTGTTCATTTGTGTTGTATAATTTGTATTTGTTTCAGAATTATTTGATTCATGATACTCATACCATTTTTCTCTATTCTTTTATCTGTTTTTGTGAAATAACATTCAGTCATGACATCACACGTGCATATACCGTGCACCACCACCGCCACAGCGTATAAGGAGGAGAGGATGTTAATGTGTGTGCATTGCTCCACAGTCTTCATTTATCAAAGACACTTTAGTAAAGACGTGGAGATAATCAAAGCTAAGGTGGATGAGGGCATGTAAACACTACTCAGCGCAGAGAGGCAAAAGGCCAAAACAACTCAGAGGACAGTGGAGTGACTTTTGAACCTGCAAAACACGCCTCATTACCACCGGGAGCAGGACAATGGGACCACTCACTCATAATGTCCTTGTCCTTTGTACCGACAAGCTTTACAGAATGAGAACACTTTTTATGGAAGACCTGTTACAGGGAATTTACACATTATTTGGGTGTATCTACACTGGCAGTGCGCGCAGGTCCGCGGCTTCTGATGCTCTCCCTGTGTAGTCTATGGAGAAGTGTAGAGGACAGTACGGGCCAGAGGACTGATGTAGAGCAACACAAATCACATGCATGTGTTTGTCTTCATGGTCTCTGTGCGCTGGTCTGGCCACACACCAGACTTTATGAATGAAAAAAACCTGTCACGTGCTGAGAAGGATGCGGACTCAAAAAGCAGGAATGCCAAAAAAGAATTATTTAATGATAACAAAATAAAAGTCCAGGTTAAAACTCAAAAATTCCAAAAGGCACAAGCAGCAACGAAACAGGAACAGACATGACAAGAGAGGACGGAGGTTGACAATACAATGGACCAGCAACAAGAGGAGAGGAGCACAGACATATTATATATATTATAGACAGATACACAGGTGAAACACATTAGGCCGGGCAGACAATCAAGACAGGGGAAACAGGGCTTCAAAGTCAAACTAAAACCAAAGCACAGAGAACAGAATATCAAAATAAAACTAAAGTCCAAAATAACAAAATCCACACCGTGACAAAACCGATGTCCAGGTCACTGTAAAACCTGCCAGTCCTCCTGCTAATGTTTAGATACAAGTGCTGTGTGTGTGTGTAGCTACGATCTAAAGCAAAGGACAGCTAGAAAAATCATGTTTCACATGTGTTTTCAATGGGAGACGCATTGCTGTGCGCACAAAATTAGAAATCCATCCTAAATTAGACGCAGCCTCGCGTCATACGTCCGTCATACGCGCGTATAACGCTAGAAGTGTAAATATCATCATAGGTTAATATGGGAAAAAAATATGTGCGTCTGCTGCGCGTATAACGCGTACGTGCTGTAACGCGTCCTGTGTAAATTGGCAGTTACAGTAACACATTGGGAAATTAGTGAGGCCCCCTAGGCCCCTGTGATGCCAGGGGGGCCATGCCAACTTGTTTGTACATATTATAATTGCGACTGCAAATCAATCCCCACAGTTCAGATCGCTCAGGACAGAAGAGACAACAAGAAGAACATTCTTGAAAAGAAAATGCAATCCATGAGGATGTATTGATCAGATTAATGATTATTGGTGATTTAATGTGTGGCTTTGATATTTAGGCTCAGCCTGCTGTGACCTCTGCCTTCACACTCTGAGCCCCTCGAAGTGGAGGGAGATATAAAAACAGGGGTGGACTGGCCAGGGGTGTTGTAAAGAAGAACAGAACAGGCGCTTTACAACAGTGCAGCGAGCACACAGCCGGATCGTGGTCATACTGTGTCCAGCGCACAGAAGGACCAATCTCTGGACGACTCACTGCAGATGTGCCTGTACACGCAACAAATACACCCCTGCAAGAAACAAACATGGATTCTTGCACAAGACGGGAAATATCGAGCCGAAATATCGAAATTTATTGTGTCCACCAATTATTTAACGATTAGCCAACTGAGTAATCATCGATACGGACCCATTTGATGTCAAGGTTGTTCACCACCATACAAAATGAATTAATTATATAATATCTTTGCAACACTTTCAATCAGAACTAATCCTGGACAATAAGTAATTAATAGTGGATACATTGCACGCACCACAGGTTAAGAAGCCTTGACTATCTCTTTGCTGTGAGATACAGACCAAACTGTTAAACACAACACCCAATTAGGGCAAACAATCACACCCCCTCTCGTTTATTAATACACCCCATTTTCCTATAAAAGGGTAGCAAAAATGACTAATTAATAAAACGATTTATGAACCCCTCTCATTGCGTCTAATGAGATTTATGCAAATTTAGCGGCTTTCAATATGAGTTATAATTTGGTTGAAGACTGTGCAAATTAAGCATTTACCTCACAGTCATCAATAATATCATGACTCGATTTCCACAGTTAGCAGCACGGTTGAGTAGGAGATACTGTATGCTCCATCTGTGCCGGTAAAGATAAGCTTGACTGTTAAAGTTAGCATATAGACAACAATGCAATACAGTGATTTAACATAGTGTTCAACATATCGATCACACATTGATTCATTAAACAGGATCTTGACAAGCTAAAAAAAACAGACTAATCTGTCCCATTCAATATGCAGGAAGATGTGGCTTTGCTTGGAATGTTCCACAATACAGCATTCAAGTTGTGTGAAATACTTAATTAATGTATTAAACGGTATTAAAAACTTGGATACTCAACTTTCAAATCATATATAGTGGAACTATATGATAAAATTGCGTCCTTTGCTCTCAAAAAAGTCTAGTTCTAACACTACTTTTTGGAACGCATGTATTTTGTCACAACTTAAAGGAACTATACCTGATTTATTTTCTAATACGTTCATATAAATGCGTATTACTACATACGAGTTCTAATAAAATCCGTAATTTAATTGAAAACTTGAGCTCATTGATTCAGCTTGCGTATGAATTCAGGCCGTAAAAAGTGCAGAGTAGAAATTTTGCGTGACGGTATCTCTCCTCCACTCACAGAACAAGAGGCAGTGCTGTTACTAGCGTCTGCTAGAGGCTGTCTCCTCTAGCGTCTGCAGCGCAGGTAAGCAAGAGCAGCATGGCAGCGGAAAGTGGCTATACCTCCTCTGGCTGTAACTGCAGACACAGCAAAACAGCCTAAATAACGCAAAAGTAATGAGGAAAAGAGGGAACTAAAGCGAAAAAAGCATCAAAGAAGAAATCAAGCCCAGGTGATTATACGTAGCTTCCATTGTACCCTCTGGAGAGACCAGCGGGAGCGGGACCTCGGACTACATTTGGACGTGAAACTACAAACTAGATGGCTTCATGGGAGGAGAGCGTAGGGGAGAGTAGGGAGGGTTTCTCAAAATGAGAAGCCTGTGAGCGAGTTGCGGGGCGGTGCTAAATATTCAAACTGAAAAAAAACTTGCAGAAACGGGTATAGCCCCTTTAAGCTTTTTGAGACGTGCAAAAAGAAAGGACCACCCTCACTCAGCCCAGTCAAATATCAGAGCTCTTTCCGACCATTATGCGAATTATAATTATCTACAAAGGCTGGGAATCGCTGGTTCCCCCACGATACGATATGCGATACCCGGCTCACAATACAACATTATCACAACGTGCCGATACTGTCACCATACACAACTGAATATCGATGCATTGCTCATTCATTTGTCAATGATATATCACAGTATGTCCCATCCAAAGTTGTGTTAACTTAACTTTGTTTGTGTGGTTATTTTGTTTTCTGGACAACCAATGACTTTTAATGAATATGGGTTTGGATATAACTTTTTGGTAGTGTTTTATACAAAATTAGTTCAGCTGTGATTGGATTAAAATCGAACTGCAGAAGAAGGCTGTGAATTGTTGAATGGTTTTCAATTATTGCACTTTTCCTTTTCGGTTTAATCTTAGGGAAAAATATATTAGAGGTAGTTTTCCTGTCATTGGGTCTTTCGACTCTGTAGGCGGAACTACGTAACATTTTCCACTTTTTGTTGAGACAAAAAATATATATATTTATTGAACAAAAGAATGAGGTACCCCAGTTTGAAAATGTAATTGTACATATCAATTATATTTGCATAATTTGAGTTTTTTTTAAAAACCTGACCTTACATGTCCATGGCTGTTGTTGTTAAAAGAAGCACAAATTGGTCCGAGTCTGTGATGCTCAGTAACATTCACAGCATGTTTTAGACCTGAGGGGAATAAAGCAGGATCCTTCTGAAGCTTATCTGTGACACAGTGGCACCGAGCTCTTTCTCTGACAAATGATGCTATTTAGCAGCAAGTGATGCCAGTCTTACTGTTATGAATGATACAGCACACATTAGCAGCCCCTCCCTCACACGCCCAGGAGAGCGATGGGCTGGAGTCACCATCTCTCTCATTCACCTTTCCATCTGCGCGCTCTGCTCCTCACACAAAGTCTGCTTCAGATAGAAACACAAACTCTGGGTTACTGTTCTGTTCTCTCGAGCTAATGGTGAAGAGCTGAAGCGTTCACTCAGTAAATGAGACATGGCTGAATCTGAATACATTTAGAGCACATTTAAAACTGCTTCATTACAATACTGTAAGTAGTTTCTGAAAGTTTATGTATAGGAGTTTTGAGCTAAGACAAAGCACCAGTGTTTTGTGTGTGCAGAGCTGTAGAGGCGTTCACTATAAAACACTGGTGATAGTGAGGAGTGGACCCACTAACCTACCAGAGCACAGTTTAATTCAGCTCAGTCTTTTAGGACAGTCAGGGGGGCACTTGATGCTAAATCAGTGTCTGGAGGATATCAATCTGCGGTGGATCGATATCAGAGCTGCACATGGGCGGGCCTGTCCCTGCCCGGGGCCCAAAGGCTTAAGAAAAAGACGGAGCCCAGCCAAAGCCCTGTTTATTATGTGTGTGACATCTCTGCACCCCTCGTTCATCTGGCCCCTGATTCAGTGGGACAGCCCCTGTCAGGACTTCAATTTCAGGTGTGTTGTGAAATATGTCTAGACATTTTATGGTCTGCAGAAGCTTCATGGGAATATGGGCTTCTCAGGATGCTGTCTAACCAACTGGCAACCTCAAGGAAAAGATGAAATCACAATCAAGATGTGCTGAGATTTTGTGGTTCAAAGCACGAGGGAGATTATTATTGTATCTGTTGTTTTGACTAGGATGTCTACAATAACAACATTTTAGCATAAAATGTAAGAAAACAGTATTTACCTTTTATAAATGTCACCCTTTGTTTGTAG